GTTTTGGGAAAAAAAAAAAAAAAAAAAAAAAAAACACAGCTGTGTTAATGCTATTGACAGATTGCATCATATATGTAATAGATTTTTTAGTTTGCTCGCACTGCTAAGCACTGGCTGTATCTAAACTTACTATAACATAACGAGAACCACATAAAAACAACTCTTAATTTACTACTTCCCATTAAGCAGTTATATTAAAGTGCTGCTTTAACAATTTTTGCTTTTTAGTCTCAAATTGGGAGAAAGGCTAAAAGGGTTACAATCTCTGTAAGGCTCTTTGGGGAGATTAGCCTTTTTTCTGTGCCTCGGTCAAATCAATGGTACTAAGTGAACACACTTAGAAGCTTTATAATGCAAAAGTTGATGCATCCGGGATCCTTAACACTTTAGATGATAGCCTTTTGCTGTTTAGTTCACCCATAACAGACAGTTTAGTCTTAGGAAGATGCATTTGTAAAATAAGTCATGGTTTTCTTAAGTGAAGTGTAGTCCACTTCATTGATCAGTACGAGCATGGTCATACTTATCACGTCTCTATTTATTTTACAATATGGGGGAAAAAAAAAAAAAAAGTGCAATATTCCCGTTCCTTGGTTTTTCAAAGACCACAGATGAAGGATCACTAGCGATGAGATATAAAAGCTAGCCCCTATATGGCAAGAGGTTAGTTGGTGATGCAACTCACAAATGCCCACTAATTACTGAAATATCAGTTTTTGATTACCTTACCTTTTAGAGGCCCAAGGCTTCATTCACAACAAGGCAGCACATTTGCGCGTATTTGTTCTCCGCTTTTGCCACACGTCCCCATTAATTTCAATGGGTTTCTATATGTGCGACAAACGCGAAAAAGTAGTGCAGGTAGCAAAATGTGAGACATGCATTCCGTGGGTTTTTTCTTCTGCGTTTGTGCGCGTTTCAGCGCGTGCAAATGCACAGGAAGAACGCACGTACTCCTAGCCGTGTTTGGGTTGCCATTAACTGGTAATGGCAACACAAGTACGTTTCGTGTTTGTGAGCGTTCCCACAGCGCCTAGGTGTGAACCGAGCCTAAGAGAAAAGAGGATACTGAACACTATTAGTATGTAAAAGGTTGTTCTCAGCATGAAATGTAAAAAAGTATGAAGCCAATTCTTCACTTACTCCAGCAGCGATAGCACCAGGCCTACGGTGTGTTTTGCTTTGTCCATGTGATGCTGGTTGTCCACTATATCCCCATCTTTTCATTACTCCCTGAAATCCTTTACCAATCCTGCAATAAAAGACGCAAAAAATTAAAAATGTGTAATGATAATGTGGGTTTTACATCATCCCATAGCAGGTACATACTGTATTTTTTTCAAGTAAATCATAGGCCGAGTTAAGTAAATATTCCCATTAGGGATGCACAAATACCGGTTTTTCGGTATCAAGTACGAGTACCGATATTTAGCTTTTGGTAGTCGCCAATACTGGTACTTCCACTAGCAAGAAGCAGCTTACCGGGCAATCAGGAAGCTGGGCAGCGTGTTATTACCTGCTGAATGGCTTCTTGATTGCCCGGTAAGCCAGCTCAATGCTGTTTGGTTGGTGATGTCGGCTTCCCAAACAATCAGCATGGAGCCGGCTTCCTGACCAATCAGGAAGCCGGGTCATTACTTGTGGCCTGGCTTCCCGATTGCCCGGGAAACCGCCTCCATGCTGTTCGGCTGGCTCAATACTGATTGGCTGGGAAACCGACTTCCTAGCCAATCAGCATGGAGCCAGCTTCCTGGTCAATCCGGGAGCTGGGCCGCGGGTAATGACTTGTGGCCCGGCTTCCCGATTGCCCGGGATGCCGGCTACATGCTGATTGGCCGGGAAGCCAAATCATAACCTGCGGCCCGGCTTCCTGATTGGCCGGAAAGCCGGCTCCATGTTCCCTCGTGGCACTGCTGGTCAGAGGAAATCTCCCTCTGACCAGAAGTTCTGCTATCAGGATACGTATTGGAGCATTTGGGGGAGTACGAGTACTTGCCCAAATACTTGGTATTGGTGCATGTCTAATTTTCAGGCCTCCTTCCTATAAGATCTTTCCTAATTAAATCTAAAATGCTGGTAGCAAGGACAAGGGAAAAAGTAAGAGATATTTCTTATAAAGGACTATTTTTTACCGATCTTTACAATATTCCATTTGCATGAATACAAAACACAAAGTTTAAATTTCAAGTATAGTAATGTAATTTTGTAATAAACAAAAAAAACACAAAACTTTAAGTTTTGGAAGGGGCATAAGAGTTTGAGGCCTGAGGCCACGGGGTTTGAGGCGCAAGACCTCAAGGGTTAAGGCCCCAATCAGTGTCTCAATTTACAGATCAAGCAATGGGTCCTTGCACATGTCCTGTATCCCATGACAAAACATGTGCTTCTCTACCTTCCAACAAGACCTACAAAGCGGCAGGCATTAAGATGTTCAGCTCGATCTACATTCCTCACTTGACCTAAGAGTTGATATTTGCACTCAGCGTGCCCTAGATTTAGAAGCACATAGTGTGTTCTTTGGCATCCTCCTCCCCCTTCCCTTCGTTAGCCGACGGAGCATGGACGGGCGGAGGCGGGCTGGGGCGGAGCAGGTGCGGGCACGGGAAATGACTCACCGAGAACGGACTCCACTACACGTCACTGCTGCACACTCTGTGAATACCAGGTAATGACAACAGCGGTACAGCGGTATTGTGTGTTCTGAATTCATTACATGACACGATGTAGCACCTTTTAATGTGAGTGTCTTTAATCTTGTATTTTAATAAAATATTATTGCATATTCCACTATTGGATCTGTTTTTTTGTATTCTCTTATCTGAGCCCCATCCATATTATCCTCGGGATGCCAAAGAACACACTATCATTTACTGTATTTCAAAAATCCTTCCTTAGAAATGGAATTCATATGTATAGCGCCATATGTTTTAAATGCAAGGTAAATTGGGTGTTCTTCATAGATTGTGAGAGCTAAAGTCTGAAGTTTTTGAGTGTGCGATATATTAGCTCTTTACTTGCACCTGTGTCCCTGGAGATCACATTCAAAAATAAGTAGCTGTTTCCATTCCTTTCCTTTATAAAACAATCCTAAATTCAGTCAACAAGATGCGCACAAATTTCTCAGGTGTAACTATGCTGGTATCAGGTGTCAGAAATTAGGTCAATACCACAACATGCAATCATTAAAATGCTCATTGCAACTTCATAAACGTGTTGTCAAATGAACTTTATTCTCAGGCAGGCACTGAAGTGGAACAGTCCTGGGCAGCAGAAAACTGGCAATTAGGAGACCCACTTGCCTTGGTAATTAGCAGCTGCTTTCCTAAATTTATGGATGCGTTTTAGCAGGCATGATGCCCAGTGGGACAGCTCACCTGATGATGCCAACCTAAGCAAGGAACATGCTTTTTATGTAATAATACAAACATACCAAGTGGAAAGTAGGTTAAAAAACAGCGCTTGTCACCACTTAATTGGATCTCTCCATGGCTTTGTTCCTAAAGCCTCTGCTGGAATATTCACTTCTATAAAGGCTTCAGTTTTATGGCCTCTTTAAAAGATGACATTGCGTTACAATTCAATTAAAAATACTTTTAAAATGTATTATGGCAACTCGCTATAAGTCCATTAAGAGTGGCTAGTGACATTGTCTATCTGGTCCACAAATTCCTTACCGTATTTTTCCGTCTATAAGACGCCCCCATGTATAGGACGCCCCCCACTTTTCTTACCCAAAATTCAGAAATCACTATTTTCCATGCTTTTTTGCATAACCGATTACATCCAGTTTAAATTTTGCAGAGTAAGACAGCTGCTTACTGATACCGGTATTTTTTTTTGTTTTCTGACATTTTTATGGGCTCTCTGTTGCATCTGGGCACTGGCTACATGCTCTCCGCAGCATCAGCTGACGTCGGGTACATAAGGCTCATGATTGGAGGAAACCTGTTAGCTTGTCTCTGCATTTGGAAGTTTCACTCGTGAGGCTAGTTTGCAGAGGTATCGGCAGTTTCGCAACAGCGGTTCTCCTCTCTGCCCCCCGTGTATAAGACGCCCCCTCCATTTTTAGGTAAATATTTTTAAGAAAAAGTATAGTCTTATACATGGAAAAATACAGTAGTTACCTGGGTACATTTATACTGGAATAGATACATGTGAACACAAAAAGCATAGAGAATGTTTAATTTCTTGTTTTATGTGGCCTCGGTGCCATGAAATCTGCATAAGTGCAGACACAAGGATGAAGGAGAGAGACTGATGACGTCACATGACAAGCAGACAAAACAACCTATCTGCAGAAACTTTTCTTAACAGTTTGTCACTTAGGCGGAATTCACATAGCTGTTTTGGAGTTGTACATTACGCATGTTGATTCTGAATAGTACCCCCATATACCTGCGTTGGCAAAGCACCACAACGCAGTGTAATGCACTAGCCTACGTTGTGTGCTGCATTGCTAAAAATTGTAAATGTCATTTTCTAAGTGCATTAAGAAGCCCATTCAAATAAAAAATGTAAATGGGCCCTTAAATTACACAACCCCAGGCAGATATTTAAAAAAGTAACCCAATTACTGTAGGTACACATTAAAATTATTTAGGGCTGCGAAAATTAACGATTAATTGCTCTATTAATCGTTACTTTTTTTTGATCGGTACTCACCTCTCATAGCTTCAGGTTTTCTTTTAAATACTTGGAAAGCCAGTCACATTATTGAAGAGGATTACTGAGGAGATCAGGAGGTGGGAATTAAGTGTGCTTTTGACCTCCCCCCTTCCCTTCGTTAGCCGGCGGAGCCACTTGTGCCGCTGAGTACTTGTTCTGCACGAGCGCCAGCCATGGCATTGGCCTATACACATACAGCACAGCAATGAAGTAATAAAATTAACTAGGATCATACGAATCCAGCACGTTAATATTCTGAGTTGCCCCACTCAAGCGGCGGCCATATTGAGTGGGGCACGTGAGATAAATAACATGCTGGATTAGTGTGATCCTAGTTCATTTTATTACTTCATTGCTGTGCTGTATATGTATAGGCCAATGTAGTTGGATCCGTATGTGCATTATAATTATTCGAAATAAATCGATTAAAAAATGTTTCCAATAATCAAACACGAAAATTTTTAATCATTACCAGCCCTAAAATTATTCAATGTAATTTTACACAAAACGAGCATAAATACTCAAATCTTTTGTAAGGCGGAACCCCTGTAATTCTTCACAGCAGCCCTTACATTGGAAAAGGAAAGGACTTCACTTTGAAGCAATCGGGTATCTACAGGTTTGCAGATTACGGCAACTTTCTGAACCTGCTTACAGGGGGGGGGGGAATACCATAAACACAAAAATAATATGCTACACCTTAATTGTTTAATCACAGGCGTCAGGCCGGTCATATGATGCACTGGGTCCTGTTACCCTCCTAATCTACCTTAGCGGTGGGTGGTCCTCAATCATGTAGACAGGGTGAGCTTATGATGCCCTTCACTTAAAGTATGTCCTTAGTCTTCGGGGTGAATAACGGTCATAATTGTGGTGAAATTGAACTACTACAGGGGAAAGCTCTGAATTGAAGGCAAATATTGCAGTATAATCTTTTTCTTTTGTTAAAGGAGAACTATGAGGTGAATGATTTCCACTCATCCTCTCATTTAAAGCCGACCTGTGACAAAGAAGCTGTCACAGGTCAGCTCTATCGATCGGGAAGTGAGCAGAAACATGCATCGATCAGCTCACTTCCCGATCGTCTCCCTGCAGGGATTCGCCCCTCATCCCCTCTCCAATCCTCCAGCACTGAGCGGAGGAATGAACTGGGGAGGGTTGGGCACAGCTGGCTCTGCCTCTAGATAGGCAGAGCCAGCTGTCAGTCACGCAGCTGGATGGATCTCGACAGTATTGTCGGGATCCGTCCCGGCTGCGGCGCTCTCAGTATATCGCAGGCTTGAGCTTTGGGTCACGGGAGGATGCTAACTATATGTCCTCCCGTGACCCTAAAGAGAACTATGGGGAAAAACACTTACCCCATGCTTCTCTTTTAAAGCTGCTGGAAGACCTTCAAATAGATTTAAAAATTAGCCCTGTGTTTGGCTTTAAAGTCACGCATTTTTGTAAAACAGCATCCATCTAAGTCAAGTAAAGAGCAACATTTATTTAACACTAAGGGCTTGTTCACACCAAATGCAGACCAGATCTGCATGAGTTTCTGCACACGCAGTGAAGTGTGTTTTGCCGCATTTTTGAAGCATTCTG